TATTATGGATTGATCATGAATGTAAATGTCCATGAAGTGAACTGTCTAATCACACAACTAATTGTTTCTGCTCTTTCTGCAGGCGAGATTACCGCAGAGAAAAGGCTTGCCTTTGCATCAAGAAGAGTCAAGAATCTTTTCCTCCAGTACTATTTTAAGTTTATATTTGTCATAAGTAACACTATTATACCTATGTAATATTAGTCCCCCCCCCTCCCCTCCTTTGTCTTATTTTGTTCCTATGCCAAATAAAGCTGTGGCAATATTTGTCATTTGTTTTGATAAACTTCTTTGACATTACTTGTAGGACATTGTCTGTCTTAGAGGGACTTGGTGACTGATTGTTCATAGCAGGACCAGTTTACAGACAGTGCTTTGATCAGTGATTTTAAAAGACCACCTTAAAATGCAGTTGTATCCAAATAATGCAATGCCACAGATGACAAGAGAAAGATGAGAACATACTGTTGCAGGATGCTGGCATGTCAGTTTGGGCCATAACCAGAATCATTTTATTCTGTGGTAGCTGGAGTTGTAAGGAACAAGGCAATCTGTTAATATTTGTTAGGCTTTTTGACTTTATTTTAGAGCAGTATAGATAGACAGGAAAGGGGGGAGCAGAATGGGGAGAAACCTGCAGCAAAGGGTTGTGAACAAGAGTTGAATCTAAGACCGCTGCGTCTTGAACTATAGCCCCTGTTTATGGGTCGCCTGCTTAACTAGGTGAGCTATATGGGCGCTCTGGAGCACCACAATCTTAAAGTGCTAGGCTAAGGCTATCATTTAGAGGTTTGCTGTGCCTCGTAGCTGGTGGCTAACGCTCTCTGAAGAACTTGCAACCTCTTTCTAAAGTAAGATTAACTTAAGCAATCTGTTCTGACAGGCACATCTCAGAGACACAACCTGTGAAATCTGGTAAACTGTAAGAAGCACAGCCATCACCACAAATCAGGAATTGCCTTCAATCACTAGCTAGCAACTAAGTCAGGAGGCAGCCACAGGTTACCCTGAAACTTTCACCAGTAATGAAAAGGAGGGCAAGGTTGGCACTGTTCTTCCTGAAGTCAATACTGATATCCTTGAGTTGTGATTTTTAGTGCCAGGTTGTTTGCTGAACATTATGCTGTTAATTTCACAACCTCATCTCTGTAGGCAGACTCATTCGCTCCTGAAATCAGCCCAACCAGTGACATATTGCCAATTTGACAATGATGTTGTCTCAAGGGGCTGGACTTCAGTCAACGATGTAGGGGAGTAGAGGAGTGGATCAAGAACCAAGGGCTTAAGGAGGAACTTGAAAAGATGTCCTGAGTAAAGGCATCAGTGGTGCCAGTGGTGATTGGAGCACTGAGAGCAGTGACCCATAAACTGGAGGAAAAAAATCCTATTGCCTCCCACACAGCCTGCTGTTGGCATCAGCGCCCTATCACACTTGAATTTGTTCTATGGCACTTATCTAGATTGTTTTCTCCTGACCAGATCCTTGCTTGTGCTTTATCTACCCTCAGATGTACGTCACTTTGGATAAAAGCGTCTGCTAAATGAAATTGAAGAATTGTATTACACAGCCTTGAGCAGTAGTCACTTTGCATGTCGCTCCCCATGCTGTTTGAGCATGTGACAAATAACAACTCCTGAACCCTGGGCCAAGCTAATAAACTATCCTGGCTTGTTAGGTGATGCCTGAGTTAGCCAGCTTCTCATTAGCGAGATCAGTAGCTGGTTTTAGCAAAAACAGACTCTGTTGACTTCACAGTCATCTTAATTTGGCCCGTTATACTGCAACATACACTGAGCTCCATTAATAAGGTGTTATGTAGTAATTCATAAACTGCACTAACCTATATATTCCCTCATATACTGTACATTACCCATTTACACAACTACAGAGATGAAAAATAGAAAAAAAAAGAATAAAAAATATTAACATAAAATCCAAAAATATAAAAACAACCGGGATATTGCGCTCAAGACATTATTGCACTCAGAGTATTGCACTTGGTGTATCAACAGAGATTTTTCTGTTTTACATTGAAGAATGATTAATGGGAATTTGCTGC